CACACACACACACACACACGGGCGGGTGCAAGGAGGTGGCCTTCGGCCATCCCCCCGCACCCACACCGTCACAGAGGTCTGCCCCGACAGTACTATCATAGCAACAGTACAATCATAGAAGTCCTGTGCCCCTGTGCAGGGGGGGGGGGGGAAAGTTACTTCGCGTGGAAAGTTCAACGTTTCTGAACAAAAGGAAAGGTGTAGAATAGTACTTCATATCATACATGTATAGCAGAAATAATACGTTCATTTTAAAACTATAATTGTTAATAACTTTTTAACGAAGGACGAGCGACGGCTAAAACCTGTTGGAGGTTACTCAGGATCATGACCTTGACAACATATGTCAAGGTCAAAGTTATTGAAGGGGGGTCCCCTCATCGACACATTTACCAAAATAATAATTTTATTTAATATGTATTTAAAAGATGACTGCTCGGTTTATCGGTGAGCCAGGTGAGGGGGGGGATATGAAACTCGCGCGCATCCGTCCTTCCACATCAAAACAATCCTCAAGATTGTTTTCATTAACCGTCTAATATTAATAGATCGATTTTCTTTATTACCTTCATTTAAATAAAATAATTTTTCAAAATTTCTCTTTTTGAATATATTCGTCGTACCAGTCAGCATTCGGGTTCTTATTTTAATTAATATTTTAAGGTCCGGTAGGTCGAAGATGGTGGTGCGGTGAGTGAAAGGTGAGAAAGGATGTTAAAAAATTGAAATAACGAAGGAGTGTGAAATACAGCGAAGGAGAGGGGTGGCGGGAGTGAGTGGTGGGGGGAGGGAGAGTAAAGGAGGTCCCGTGGGTCAAAGATGGTGAAGGTGCGAGTGAAAGGTGAAACAGAATGTTGAAAAGTTTAAATGGCGGCTTGAAACATTTTGAATGCGGACAGAGAAGAAGAAGAAGAAGGAGAAGGAGTTGTTTCTTAATTTTTCATTAAAATCATCACTTTTGACCGCTTATATCTCCAGAACGGCTTGACCGATTTAAAATTTTTTGGCTCAAAAATTACTCGTGGTGATGCCGCCTTTCAGGACATATAACGTTTGATTCAAAATTTTTTATATTTTAGTAATTATGCACCTCTCAAAAATGGACTTTGGTGGCTCGGGATAAGAGACTTGTAGCGTCTCTCAGTTTTTGAACATGGCCGGAGACACTACCGCGTCTCCTGATGTATATTATGACATGTGAATATACACGGAGTGCCGTTTGGACGGCCATGGTTGACGGGTGTGCCTTTTGTGCGTCTGCGAGTTTTCGGTGTTATTTCGGTGCTCGGTGTGTTTTGTGTAGTTGTTGGGTGGGCTGTTCTCGTCGGTCGTTGGACCGGGGATTGCTGTGCGTTGGTTTGGGGTCTTATTGCCAGGGAATGGAAGTAACTCGTTACTTGTAACGAAGTTACAGTTACAAGTTACTTTTTTGGTAACTTTACTGGTAACTGCGTTACTTTCTTTTTTTGGTAACTGTAACGGTAACGAGTTACATTTTTTGGGTAACTGTAACGAAATTTACAGTTACTTTTGTCGTTACTTTGCACACGATTGAACACGGTTCGATTGGATACATGCTATTTATAACGCTTATCAATAAGACTTGAAAGCCCTTATAATTGTGTTTAAAAAAAATTAAAAAATAAATTAAATAATAGTAAAATGAGAAGGGCTATGAACCCAAAAGCGAAACAGTTTAAAAGACGATGACAATAAGTGTCGAAACGTCGTTTGTTTTTATCTTTGTTTTGTTCTAATATATATTTATACATTTAATTACATTGTCATCGTCGTTCTTATCAGAAATAAACTGTTTCATTTTTGGCTCGTAACCCTTCTCATTTTACTTTTATTTAATTTATTATTTGAGCCATTCTACATTGTTTTTTTTTTAAA